TGTAGCGGAGCCACAGCCAGAGCCGGAACCCCGAACCCAACCCCAACCCCAACCCCAGCCACAGATACATACACAGACTCAACGAACGTCAGAAACACCTGTCGACGATGTCAAACAGCATGCTCCAACGCCCGCGGATACATTCAAACCTCCGCCTCAAGTCATCAAGCGCACAAACTCGACCAGCATCATCTCTCTTGACTTGACCGACGAACAAGCCGAGCGCGTGTACTTTATCTGGTCGGTCGATGATGAAGGCATGGAAATGGATTTTATTCATACGCTGCGCGAATGCAAGTCTTTTGGAGGCCTGCTCAGCCTGTTGGAGGAGGAATCTGAGGACCTACCGTCTGTTGCGAGCATATTGGAGAAAACCAAAACCTGGAAACTGACATACGATCTTGGTGACGGTATCAGCAAAGCGATCGTAGCCCGCAAAGGCACGGAGACCGCATTCGATCGTCTACAGACTACACTTGCTCAATCGTCTATTTGGGCAGACAATCCTCAAGCAAAAGTCGATATCGTACTCAAGTCTTTGAGCCGGCCAAACCCTGCTTGAGCGACATGAGCAACGGTCATCGATGATTCTCTTCCTAGAATTCCAGCCTCGGCGTTCTTCGAAGGTGTGCTCTTTCTCACTTTCTCTAGCATCTGTATACCATTGAGTACATCGATGGCTTTTTTGCGTTGTCCTACATATACCCCGATCATTCTTGATCTTTCGCGTGCGAGTTGGTCGAAAGCATCGATACCAGGCTGGCGGTTGTATAGCACTGGTGCTCCATGAGGCTGGGCAGGATCCAGGCAACTCATAAAATGTTTATTCATATGAATACTAATGACGATCTCTATATGGCTTTTCCTCACAAAACTTCCAGAGCCTCTGTTTGAGCGTGTGCACATGCTACAGCACATCCGATGATGTAGTGATTCCCCATTGCCTGTACACCAGCGAGGTCTGCCCGCCACTGCGCATCCGATGTCAGTCGCGCCAATAAGTGGAAAAGAAAGCGCAGTAGTATGCATGGACTTGAGCCACCAAACATCACTGTCAGCAGCGGTGAGCTGCATTTCGCCACCCCATAGACGAACAACAATGTGCACAATGCCTTGTGTAAGTGATTTGGGGGGATCGTCGGCTAACGCGATATTCCAGCCAATCGGCAGCAACTGCCCTCTGGTTCCGCCTGCCATTCCCAGGCGGGTGCCGCTAACCCTGTAGACGAGCTTTCATACGCCGCTATGGTTTCTTCATCCGACTCTTATCATCTATCGTGTTCTCGATTCATCTTTAAGAATGTCGTTCGTTTCCCTTGCGCGCCCCATCACTGACTCGTACATGCTCTAGACGGCCCTTTGGCGAAATTGCACGATCTGGCTGCCCCAGTCCTGAGAGCATCTGCATGTAATCATACCCGAGAAAATCAGCACTACACATCACGCCTCCCTTGCATAGTCGCGACACCACAACGCTCGGAACCCATACGACCGTGTACGGACGCATCGTGAGTCTACATTCAATTCACCTGGCGAAATTTCGCGATCCATGCATCTAGCCCATACACCATGGACGGCTCAGCTATCACATACGCAACGTCCAAGGACTGGCTGGACATTATGAAGAATCGGTCAAAAGTGCGTATGCACGAGCTGATCGAGCGTCTTGGACTGCGCGCAAAGTGGTCATCGAACAAACGCGGTAAAACGAACTTTGAATCCGCCCTCGTACGCGAGCTTGTTGCAGACATGGGCGATGTTGTCTCCACGTTACCGAAAGAGCCGGATGAGCTGATGAAGTTTCTGAGCGACGAGGGAAGTTTAAAAGAGCAAGTCGATGGCTTGCTTGAGAAACATGGCGCCAAGGTCTGGGGAAGAGTGGGCGATCGCGAGCACCTAATCACCGCGAATGAACCCGGAGTCGAAGAGGGACTTTACCCGCGGGATCTTTACTTGGAGAACGAGGAAGACAGAGCATTGTAAGTACATAAGTTTGAGAGCACATCTATCTCGAACTTGGGTCTCGCAATACGGCCGAATAGCTACTGACCCACCACGCAGAATTCACAAACTTCTCCATTGGTGGATCGGGCTGAAGGCATGCAACGTCATTCTTGCGCGCGAACGCCTGGATCGCGAGAGACGAAAGAAGGCAGAAAACCGCCAGGCGCGAGCTGATGCCGAGTTTTCTGGCCAGCAAGAGGGCGGCACGCCAGCATCATTCGTTGCGCTTGCGCCAAACTCGGTGTTGCACGACGGCGATACAGCGTCACGTGGAAGCCCGATGTCGTCAAGTGCAATGCTCACACCTCCGGAATCTGGGGAAAGTCCCACTATGGGACCGCGGGAAGGAGGCGGGTTTACAGCTGTCAACGGCGGTGGACATGCAACGAATGGCAACGCCGCCTTTACGTCGGCGAAAGCCCACGAACTACAGGCTACACAACAATCCAATATCGCCGAGGGTGTCTGGAACAAACTCACAGCTGAAGCGAACAAATCTCGGTATCTCAGTACGATGTCAGGCTCTGCTCCTACCCACGCTGCACATCCTACCGAGACCAAAGCAGCGGCACAACAGCAAATCACCGACGCGACCCAAGCGGCTGCTGATCGACAAGTCAGCGTCCAAATGGCCGCGCTGGTAGCAAGCTTTCGGTCAGATGACGGTGTGCCAGAAGAGCTCCCGCAACCAAACAACAGCATACCCTACCGTGGTTTAGACTACGACGGCTTACGGGCGCTACGGCAGTACATATATGGAGAAGAGCGAGGTGTTTCAATGGACGAGGAAGCGCTCCTCAACCAACTCGAAAGAACATGGCGAGAAGGCGTTCGAGCCGACTACAATAAGATGATTGAGAACATTCCCGTTTTCATTGCGAGAGAACGAGCATTTCTGACCTGGGTGGAACTCAAGCGCCACCTGGCAGCTCTATTACGAGCAAACGAACGTACGTTTTACCAACTGCATTTGCATCTGATCTATCTATACTTATCCTACTGCAGGTTGGTCAGCCGAAGGCCACACAGCCGCCGAGATCGAGAGGCGCATCCAACAGCACCGCACGCTCATGGGCTGCACGCAAACCATCATCGCCAATTTTGAAGACGTGGGTCGAGGATTTGGTCTCGGCCCCAACGTCGCCGTCGACCGCGATGAGCTCCTGCGACAGGCCATCGTGGTGTTGGCCGGAGAAAAGTACGCAGTAGAAATGCAGTGGAAGCCAGTAGATTTTACGCAAGTAATGGGCTGGCTACACGACCACCTGGAGAGCTTCCGCAAGGAAGAAGAGGAAGATGGAAAGGGTATGCTCTGGTATATTGGCGAGTCACGACGCTAGTCACAATAACCACGATGGAGATACGCACGTATCGTGCGCGCGGGCAGCTGTAGTCGCAAAAACTGTGTACGAGGATCATACAGGCGTTCAGGTTTTCAGGGCGACGATCGATCGCCAGGGTCGAGGCCCCCACTAGTAGGTGTCCAATTCGGGAAAATAAGCTATTCGGGTAGGTCAGCCGTAGAGTGGTGGTTTCAGCTACTTGATCATGTTACAGGACCGTGTAGGATTACACTAGCTCAGCTGTGCCACACCTCATCACCATGCAGTACGGGACTCTGCGACGCGTGATTTGCTTTAGTTTGCGATCGCCTGGAACGCGCGAGCGCATAGTGAGGGCGCGACTGTACGCAACTTCGATAGTTCGGCAGCTAGTATCCGAATGAATACACGGCTCGGCAGCACTTCGCAGTATACCTTTTCGCTTAGTGTATTCCCTGCAGCCAAGGGGCGTTGTCTTCAGGCTCCGCACTGCGCCGTAAATCTCCCTAATGCCACGTTCCTATTTTAGAGTGCAGGCAGTGACCGCGCCGCACATTCGTCACATTGCCTCACATTTTTTTTCTTTCGAGCTGTGGCGTTTATCAGATCTCGCTGTACCTCCCATCAAAATTATGCGGCGCGCGGTCTGGACAGGAACCGGTTGCACAGTTGAGTAATCGCAGCTCGGTAGTACAAATCTATGGGTGAGGGACGAGCGCGTCATAGATGCATGTGTAGTTGTAACTCCTGACCATGATACCAACGACATCTATCCCCGGCTATACGAAACCGTGATAGTGCCGCTTATTCGCTGATTGCATGTGGCGGCTAATGGAGGCTTTGAGTAAGAGGATCGGATGTTTTGGCCTATGCGAGTAAGAGTTGTGCTGCTAGCGACATATTCATTTGTACCTCGTGTGTATGATGATTGACCCCTGCGATAGATATGATTAGCATAATGCAGCAAATGAGCACCACGCTCATAGTGCAAGTGTCGTACAATGAACAGGCAAGGGCAAAGGAGACCCGCTGGGTGTGAACGAATGAGGATGGGGCGGTACTATGATTACACCTGATGGGGATTTATTGGCGTGCGAGTCATTAACTTCGGAGTGCGGACGCGTATTACCTCTGCACATGTTTTGTTGCGGCCCCTGCCGGATCATTGTCTCGCTACTGGACACACCTCTTTTCTGGGTATCTTTTCGACGCAGCGTACCGTCGTTCGCCTTCTACACGTCACCGGCATCAATCATCATCACCAATCCTTCTTTCGCCGCCCAACGCCCCCCTCATCAGCGCCTGTCGGTCCCTACTCCAGAGTACAATTGCTGCGCAGTTTGTTCTTCTTGTGTGTACAGGGGCTTTCAATTCTTTGTCTAGTTTGGTAGCACGATCGGCATCTGAGACTGGACAAAGTTTTTCTTGGGGTAGCAGCAGCTGGCAATAAGAAAACTTTGTTCCAAGACGGCCTAGTGGAACGTACTCCTTTTACCTTTGCCGAGCGAGCTACCATCAATCACCCCAACCTTGGAACGTCGAGAGCGGATCCATCACACTTTGGCGCACGCGCCATTGATTGTCATTCCCCATCCCATCCGCTTACTTTTCCATCGTCATTTTCCTACTTCCCATTTCAACTGTTGACGTGCCCGTCGTCACCCATGTGGCGCCATGAGCTCAAAGGATAACTTGGCCCTGGATCTGGAGCACGGCGTGCGACGCTGGGATCGCGCTCGCTGGATATCCGTCTTCAGCTCGCATAACCCGACTATACGCGAGGTGACGGAATGCTTGGGCCTGGGCTTATCGGCGTCTTCGTCCACGACCAACCGCGGCATTCCGAAATTCGACAACCCAGACTACCGCAAGCTCTCGAGTGAGGTGACGAAGCTGTCCAAGGAATTGCCAAAAGAAAGAGATTTGTTGCTGGATTTCGCGGCGGATCCGAGTTCCCTGAACCAGGAGCTCGAGGACCTGCTAGCGAGTTACGGACCCGCTATTTGGGGCAGGGATGCGGATCGCAGCTGTTTACTCACGCCGGATGCGACCAAGAAGACGTATAACAAAGATCTGTTCTACGAGGAGCCGGAGCATAAGGATATGTAAGTTGGAGTGGTCAGGTGTCAGGTGTCAGAATGCGCGCTAAACCTATTTTAGTCTGAAGATTCATCTGCATCGGTGGATCATCATCAAAGCTTGCTACTACATTCGCAACATGAAGTTGAAGAGACCATCGGGTGCGAATGAGTATGATCAGCTTGCAGACATTGATGCCGAAGGCCTGGTAAGTTTTGATGAGATGGTTGGTGTTGTCGTGGCTAACAAACGGTAGTCACCGCATGGGACGCCACAGTCACTCACCCCACCAGATCCGGATACTGTTGCAGGCGCTGACCTTGACGTTAAACCCATTAATCTAAAGAAGCGCAAGAGCAATGCTCACCTCACCATGTCCGACGATGAAGATCCTGAGGCTTCGCCTATCAAAAGGCCTTACAGCACTATGCCTGTGAGCCGTAAGGGCAGCCCAAGGAAGTCACTCAAGTCACTGTATCCTGCCGGCCTGGGCAGCATGGAGAACATACCTCCTATGCCGACGCACATGCATCGTTTCTCGCCAGCACCAGGAACCGCATCTGAACCCTCACGGATACAGCTCAGTCCTCTATCAAACAATGACTTGAACGGCGTGTCAAGGCCTCCTGCTATCACACAAAGCTCCGCGCCCGCAGGCTTCACGGCTGTCAACAATGGAGGTTTCACTGCTGTTAACAACACGCCTCCACCAAGCGAGCCACCTCGAGAGCCAACACAGGAAGCATCCCGAGAACCGTCGAGAGAAGTGCATCGACCCCCTCCTGGTATTGGACATCGTCACAGCAACAGTTACACGAGCCCATATGAGCCGTCTTCACGCAGTGCTGCCATGGCTCGATCTGCTACGGAAACCCCTCGGTCTGCACCGCCAGCTACTCCTACACCAGCTTCGAGTCAAGGGTTTCAAGCAGTGAACGCATATTCAGCAGCTAATGGAGCAGGTGGATATATGAAGAGGGAGTCTCCTGCCGTTCAGCCTCCTCAGCATACACAGATCGCTCCGCAGCCACAGCAGTCGCAACCGCAACCTCAGGCACCACCACAGCAGCAACAGACACCGTCCCACCCTCCACACCCACACCAGGCATCACCGCATACACATCATCCTCAGCATACACAGCTACCGTCACATCCGCACATTCAGGCTCAGCAACAGCCTCCACCCCAACCACCAAGTCGATCTAATACCCCGAGCCACCCCTTCGGCCGTTCTCTCGCACCACACCCTCGCAGTAGATCTAGTACACCACATGCGCAGGCCGCACCTAATCAGCCCATCATGGCACCTAATAAGCAGGTTACCTCTGCACCCGCGATACAAAGCGCCCCCGCATACGGCATACAACTCGTTCCTACTACACAAGACGCACCGCCCGCGCCCTCGAGCAAACCCCGAGCGCCCTCCAACCACAGCCAACCCGCCGCCGCCGTACCCCAACACACCTCACCGCACCAACCCGTGCTGAAAAGCCACCAACAACCGCCCCAACCCCCCGAAACCGCACACGTCGTCCAGCCCCCACAACCCCAAACCTTCCCCCGCGGCTCCGTCTCGACAGCCGACCTCCGCCTCCTCCAATGCGAAGTCACCGCCGGCCTCTTCACCTTCTTCTACCCACGCTCCACAATGCCGCCCGACGAAGCCAGCCTCCTCGTGCGCATGCACACACTCTGGTACCACGGCGAACCGCTCTTCCGCACCGAACTATCCACACACTACGATCTCGTGTCCAAGATCCTTACCGCATGGCTACACGAGCGTCAAGCCATTGCTTCACTACGGCACAGCATGGCTGCCAACCCGGGCGTGTCTCACATTGGCCTGGTAGACCGGTTGCTGGCTATGAACGATCTCAGGGCTATGCGGTTGAAGTGGAAGAATATGAGTAGTATTGATGGATTGAGTCCTGAGGATCTACTCTGTATGGCTTTTAGGGTTATGACGAATACGGAGGGGAGCGAGTATATGTTTAAAGATGGGTTGGCGAGGCTGGAGCTGGGTGTGTTTGAGTTTTTGAGGAGCGAGGATGCGAAGATTGTCATGCAGCGGAGGGATACGAGGGCGGGGTGATGTGAAGTTGCTTCAGTAGGGGTTTGAGGTGGTTTCCCGATGGCTCCCTCTTTCTGTGCCTTCCTCCATCTTCTCCCCATTCTGGGTTTCTTTGCTTCTGCGATCTTCTTCGGTTCCCGTACCCGCTCGCATGCCATTTCTCTTTCTCGATTCCGATTTCGATCTTTCGCTTACCTTTGTACTAATGCCACTTAGCGTGGGTGGATGGGGTCCTTGCGCATGTTCTCTCGTTTTCTGGCGTTGACTTGCTTTTAAAACGTATTAGCGATGGCGTTTGGGACATTACCTCTTTCGTTCGAATGTTCCCTTTTCTTTTTTCACTGTGTTCAATACGAAAAGCGGGTTGTGGGTTTCGATATTAGCTTGTGTTACTAAATTGGTATGAGTAGTTGTTGTAATCGGGTGGTGGGATCGAGATTGGGGTGTGTGGTAATGATTGTGCGATGCGGAGTAGAATAATTGACTGCAATCGGAGAATGAAGCTTGTATTAATCAGTCACAAAATGAATATACCCAAGTTGTGAAAACGTTTTGTGTGATGCCGTACCCGACGAGACTCCATCTTCCACTCGCGCAATGACCAGATGCGATCATCCATTGGCGGTCTGGACCTATGAGGTCGTCTGACCACACGTCCTCACGTGCACCCTCCGACCCCGGCCTCAGCGCATCATCGCGAGTTCTCGCCCACCCATCCCGACTAAGACACAACGACACCCTCTTCACGCGGCCTCGCCCCTTGCGCCCCCCTTCAGCCTTGTCATGCGAACACAGCAGGGATTAAACCTGTCCCGCAGCGATGCGCCTTCCCGGCGGCCGCCCGCCGTAGCTGCTTCCGGAACCTTGTTCCTTCACATCTGCCTCCTGACACCCTCCAGGCGCGCCAATTCGGGCACTCACCGGTAGTGCCCACGCACCTTCACTGCCATGAGCGGCCTCGTGAATGCCCCACGCGCTCGCTGCAGCCGCACACTATTTTATAGCCGTGGATCGTGGACAGCCATATGATACCACACTCTATCGCTTATCCTGTACTACGCGCGTAGTTTTGGCGCCATGGTGCTGAGACTCTTTGTGCCGCCTGGTATGTCTTACAGAATATGATGTGGGGAAGCAGTTGCTAACAAAATGGTATAGGCGAAGGGCAACATCGCCTTACTCCCAAACGGCCTGATCCCATCGGTGCGAACGCGACACCTCAGTACGCCGTCATCTCCTCGACCGTCCTTGCCGCCGCGTATACGTCCTTCGCCTCGAGATATGCACAAAGTGTGACCCCTACGAGGCCGATATCGCGGCCAGCGGTGTTTATACGGGCTTCGGCAAGGCTGGGGGTTTGGGCGGGCGTGGCAGGTGCGGCGCTGAACTGGTATTACTACTCCGCTTTCGCGGATGTCTTGGTGTCAACGAACGTACCGGAAATTAAGCCCTGGAAGCTGTATGAGCGGACGAAGAAGTATACCGTCGACGATGGTGCTTTGGCAGGTGCGGCATTGGGACTGGCTGTCTCGGTGCCTTCGCTATTTATGCGCAGGCCTGCTATACCGAGGTGGACGCGCTGCCTAGGTATGACGAATATCGGCGCTTGTGCTGGTGTCCTGGGAACGCATGCGTACTTTCAGTACACTGGAGAGAGGCAGGAGGCATACAAACACTTTCGTCGACATGTCAAGCGACGATCATTCGAGTTCTGTAACATCTTCTGGGATCCGGAGCTCATGGCGAGCCTCGACCCAATCATGCAGCAATACGTCTCACACAACAGCCTCTGGTACACCCGGTGGCTGTCAGATGAGGCCTTTGAGCGAGCAGAACAGGACGTGCAACTCGAAAACAGCAGCAGTGAGCCTATGGCAGATGCTGCAACACCTGTCGAGCAACAGCCACCGTTCTACACTACACCCTTCGACTATGCCGAAGACCTGCGACGCATCGATATTGAAAGCACGCTGGCTACTATGGAAACCATGGAAGCTGACAAGAGGGAACTACTCCGGGAGTCCGAGTACCTGCTTTACATAAACGCACAGCAAAAATACGACCACTGCCACATGGAGTCTACGGACGAGGATGAACGTCAAAACCTCCTCCGACAAATCCAACTCGTCGACATAGCATACGTCAGTCTTCGCAACGCAGCCCACGACATCGACGTCAAGCTCACACAATGGCGCATTAGCCTCCGACACAAAACAATTTGGGAAGCAGGCCAAACCACCGCGACAGGGACGGATAGGCTTGCCGACTGGGTACCCGAGCCGCCATCCATATCACCCACGACCGAAGCCATCGTCCCCGCCACACACAAACCGACATACTCAATGGGCGAGTTAGAAAGAATACATTTACAAATTTCTGGAGAGGTCAAGACATTTGAAGATGGTTGGAAAGATGACAGACAACCGAGGGATAAGAGGGAGAGGTGGAAGAAGGATGCAGAGGATGGGAGGAAGCTATTGAGAGCGGCGGATGTTGTATTGTTAAGGTTGCAGAAGGCGAGAGAAAGGGTTGACGACAGTGGTGTGGTCGTAGAAGCGGGAGCCGATGGCGCGATGGCGATGAAAGAGATAGAGGGAGAGGATGGACGTGGAAGGGGGGCGAGCGATGGTATTGTTCCGGCAGCAACGGCTGAAGTCGCGGAGTTACAAGAAGGTCCCTTGCTTACTAGAAAACAGGTTGAGAAGTCAAGCGCGCATGGAGTACAAGGGACGAAAACGCAAGCTGGGGCTTTGGATAAGGACAAGTCGTGAGAGGGGACTTGCTGAGGGTAGAGTTGAGACTATTCATTGTCCAAGTCATGGTTGAGAAGGTACCGAAGATATCGTACCAGAAGCGAGCAATCAACACAGTTGATACTCGGCGCGTATGGCGCTGCTGTTGATGATTGTATAGTATGGATTTGGCTTGTCCTTTTGATGATGGATTGAGAGGGCGCTGGACGTCTGTCAGGCGGATGTCTATGTTATGTACTGTAGGTCACTGCCACAACTCGTCTTCCTATCTCATCATGTTAATTGTCTGTCTTGAGGTCACTCTTACGTGTTCAGCATGCCTGACTATCAGTCCTCCCTTCTTTCATCACATCTTCCTCTGTGTGTTCTTGTTCACGTTCACTCCCACGACTACATTCCTCACCTCCCTATCGATCGTCGTGTCACCAGATCTCCTGAAGTTTACATCCCTCTTCGCGATCTTGGCTTCGCTCGCGCAGATGTTCACATCGCTGCCCGGCTCGCCGGAGCGTCACGCTTCCGCTTCATATCTCGCCACCGCAGTCGCCAAGCGCATGGCATGAGGAGAGCTGTTCCGGGGATGACTACTTGGCTACATTCATGGGTAGGATCGTGATATTCGAGACGATCGAGTTTTAGAGATCAAGACCGTAGTACAGAAGACATCTGTATTGCACCTTATGCCCGTACTTGAGCATCCATATATCCACGAAAGCAACGCACCCCTTCAGACCAGCCCCATCTTCGGCCCTTCACCTTAGCCACTGGGAATTTACCACAAAAGTCTACATATTAGTACCGGCTCTAACCACGTTTGAACCTAGTGCTAGCGTAAGCTGCACTGTCCATCTTGAAATGCTGGTTCCAGCCCTACCCACGCCTGCTATTGCGTGTCGATCGAGATAACCAGCCTCAAATGGACCGGCGATTTGGTTCGGAACTTTGATTCACATCGCAATTTGCATTCCCCCATCACCATCATCACGATGACCGGCAGTTACCTTGACTACCGTGAGATCAGCGGACTGTCAGCTTGAAACATGGACAGACAGCTCGAACCTTCCATGGACGTATGTACTCATGTTTCTCCTGTCAAACGTCTCCAGCTAGCCGCGCAATCTGTACTGCGGTCTACTCTCATAAGAGCAGCAATACGGAACCAGCTAGCTGTGTGAAGCTAGCATCACGGTTCAATCGCGGCTTTACAACTGAAGGAATGAGGGAGGAACCACTGTTAATACAAAACGACGCGCACTAGACCTCGGGTTATTACTCATGCGATACGTGCGTGCGTGCGCAGCAGCCCCCATAGCTTCTGGACCGGAGTGGTAGGCGATATATATACGCTTGCGTCCTGTTGCGCAAGGCTGGCTGGCTGTCTTCGGATACCTAGGTAATCACTACACGTTCGTTAAAACAACCAACATGAAACTCTTCGCCCCCATTATCCTCGCTCTCGCCGCTGCGTCCGAAGCCGCGTTTTGTAACGGCGGATGGGGTTTACCGGGTGGTTCTACATGTCCTGGTGCCTATGTAAGTTCACGTCCAGTCTAGTTCTCATTTCCTCCTAATCCTATCCTCTCCCTTTCCCCCAAAAGAATACACATCCTCCAAAAACAATTGCTAACACATCTCCCAGCCAAACTCCTTCTGCGTAAGTCCTTCACAACACAGAAAACGAAACAAGTTTCAACCTCTAACACGACATGTGTGTAGTGCCAAAGCCCTGGAGCGCCGAGCAGGAACTTTCCTACGTTTAGGAATTGCGTTTACCCTGGCAGTGGGGGTAGGCCGAGTTTGAATGGGTGTGGTGCTGGTGGTGTAAGTGATTCTGTTCTGTGTGTTTTGGAGAGAATAGGGCTAATGAGTTTGTGGACAGACTATCAGCTGCGTAAGTTATGGATTGAGTGTCAAGAGTGATAGTGTGCTAATGATGGTAGTGCGGTTGATCTCGTCGCTTGATACCGTTGCTCGATGTGAGAGATTACAAGATCGTATTCTCTTGCGCTGGAATCGGAGTGGAGCTGCTTGGGCAGAAGTACCTTTAGACATTAGACCTTACTTAATCAACAGATTGCGCTTCATCAATTCATTGCGATATGAATGTGCTCACTCCTTCGGTACAGTGAATTTCTGCTTGCTAAAACGACGTGAGTCGTTGGAGCATCAAAGTCACTTCGACTGAGACCGATGTATTCTCAAAAGCACTCAGGAGGTATTCATGCATCGGCGGTACGACTAGACCCACCTCCAGTGGGTATAAATATT